CATGAGCACACTTTCCTTTAAATCTTGAATTCATTTAAAACTTAAATAGTGCTGGCCATGCATAAGTGCAGGTGGCTTGACCATCACTAGGAACGACTGCCAGGTCACCTGTCCTCTCTTTCCTGTGTAGCCTTGGCTTTCACTATGGGAATTAGGTGTTTTTGTGGGTAGGCAGCAATTGCAGATCCCTCCTTACATGGCTGAGGAAAATGGAGATCTGTGTGAGCCAATGGGGTTACATCAAAGAGGACAACATCCAAGATGGGGCTGAGGCGAGAGCTTGGGGTATTGGTCCGACCCCTCCACTACCCATCCGGCAAGTGTGGAGGTCAGCAGTGGCTTCCAAGTGCGGGCCCCACACTGTGCACTTCCACACAAATGCACACCTGGAAGGTTTGCTGCTTTCCAGATTTGTGGTATTTTATGCAGTGTTGGGGACATGGCAGGTGAGTACTTACCCTCAGTGACACCCCAGCCTGTCCAGATGAATTGCAGGATCACAGGGTCACTATTCAGCCCTGAGATTTTTGTTGTCCTGTGTCTTGACTCCATGTGCACTCATACTGCCTCTTCCTTTAGAATGACTTTTAACAGCAATTTAAAAGACGTCAGCTATTTAAATGACCTCCGCCCAGCGACACAAGTGCCCGTCTAAGCAAGTGCCTGGCGGATCTGCAGATGATACCAGTGCTGGAAGCGTGGGTTCTGGGGTGTGGGACTGTTCCTGAGGACAGTGGCAGCTGCAGCAGGCACCTAGCACCACCACCCAAACAGCTTCCTATGCCAAATGCATCTTCTGTTCAGAGCAGAGTGATAAAGAGGATCCCTTGTACTCTAGACACAGCTCGAGGACACATCGTCACCGGATTCTCTTACCAAATACCCATTAGTGTTGCATGTTCCCTGCAAATGAGAACAAATGGTTTCCAAATGTCAGCAACGCCTCCCCTTGCTTATGGGGTGTATAAGTAAGGCGTCCTCAGAGCCCCTGGCTGTAGACTTGTGACTGGTCTCACCCGTGTGTGTGGTTTAGGATCTGCTCAGGCTGGCGGCTGAGTGCTTTCTTGGATCTGAGCAACACTTTCATAATGGGTGTTTTCAGAAAGCCATTTGTAATGGGAAAAATCCTGCCTGACAAAGCAATCCTATTTTCTGTTTTAAATCATGCTCCCTGAGTTGGGAGAGCCAGACAGAAATTTGACATCGACTCTGATTCAATTCAGCTGAGTCTCTGCCCAGTATCAAGCCTGCAGGTTCTATCCCAAGGTGACTTAAGCAAATTATGTTTGAAATGCTGTCTGGGAGCTGGCGTTACTGAACCACACCGTGGAAGGGCAGCATGGATGGTTACAGGCTTCTTCTGAGGCCAGTAAAAGGTGTGTGCATGTGTGTGTGCATGTGGCGTGGTCATGCAGGGCCCAGCGGCTGCCCTGGAGGCAGGGGAGATCCGGACAAGGGTGCACTGAGGCAAAGAGAGACACTTGTTTATAAAGGTCTTCCCCACTGGTGAGAGTATCCCTTGGATAATGCCATCTGAGTGATAGTGCAGTCTCTTCCAGACCCACTGTATCAGTCGTTTTCTATTGCTACAACAAGATACCTGAGGCTGGATACTTACTAAAGAAAAGAGATTTATTTAGCTCACAATAATGGAGGCTGGAAGACCATGATTGGGTAGACCCATCTGTTTGGCCTCCAGTGAGGGCCTCCTCAGCTGTGTCACATCATGGCAGAGGAACAAATGACATGGCAAGACAGGAAGTCAGAGAGATCTCTGGTCAGGCTGGTTCTTTAATAACAACCCCAGGAGACCAGCATTAATCCTTTCCCAGGGCAGCACCCCAGTGACCTAATGACCTTCCATCAGGCCCCGCCTCTTAAAGGTCCCACCCACAGCACCTGGCAGGATGGAGGAGCCTCCATTCCTTCATTCAGCGAGTACTGACTGAGCACCTCTGCTGAATGAGGCAGGCTGAGGTCCTCGGGGCTACAGGTGGCGGGAAAATGGTCTAGGGGCTGCTAGGTGGGGAGACTCCTGTAATACAGGGATCCCCAGGATTAAAGCTCCCCTGGGAGAAATGGGACACACAGTGTTTCCCAGGGGGAGGGTGTCAGCCAGGCAGAGTGGGAAGAAGTCATGTCAAGCTATTTATCAGCCGCATCTGCCTCTCCTTCCGCCCCGCAGGAAAAGCAGTCACTCCTATGGCTAAATGAAGAGTGCATGTTCAGAAAGGAAGAAAACAATCATTTGAATTGCTGAAAAGCCATCCCACAGGGCAAATTACTGGATTGGTTTCAAAGATGCTTTGAAACACAGAGCAACTGCACTTGAAACCACCCTCAGAATTATAGACCCCAGACTCCAGATCTGCCACCGATACCAGGGGCTTTGCAGAGTGGCATTTGAAACTGTCAAGTATCTATCACATAGGTTTTCTCTCTCTCTTTTTTTTTTTTTAACCTCACCATGTTTAGTTTAAAAACAAGGAAAGAGCGTTACTGGGCGTGGTTCAGTGCATGTGCATTTGGAATCCACGGGGTGATGGGAGAGAGAGAGGCCAGACACCCGAGCTCTGATTTGGAACTGTCCTCACTGCGGGCTGCCCACTGTCCTCCAAGTCCAGCCTGATGCTTTGTGGACATGTGCTGTCCCCAGAATGCTTGTCATCGTTGGCACCTCCAGTCCATACGTATCTGAGTCCTGGGGGCAGTGTCCCCTCCATGAGGCTGAGTCCTCCAGGATCTGAGAGCTGATTTTGTGGTGTCCTGAGATGGAAGGGGAGACACACATCGATTGGCTCTCCAAGACACTTTTCCTGGGGGTAAGAGGAAGAACGCAGCTAGATGGTTTAAGACTCTAGCGAGCAACCTCCAGTGCTGTCTTCCTGCAGGGGTCAGAATCTGAGGAGGGCCTGTGATGTTCCCAGCTCCCCTGGCTTGCATTTGACTTTCTGAGGAACAAGGCGGGTGTTAAGATGAGGGACCCTGTCCCTGATGCAGCTAAGATCCCAAGACGGAACTCCCACTCCATGCATCTGACGTAGTAACTCACTGTCTTGGCTTCAACAGGAATTCAGCGCTTCCAAAGTTTTAATTAAAGGAAAACTTATCTGAAGAGAAGTTTCCTTTGTTTTAGAACAAGCCAGCAAACCAAAGTTCCCCAGTAACTTCCATTTCCTGTGAAGTCGCAGCACATACAATACAATGGGTGCAAGAAGTTGGATGGGGTTCACAGATGCCTTTTCCCTCCTACCAGAGCTCTGCAGACCCTAAAGCCCACCGGCTTGGTGTGATCTGGTCTCTCCGTTGTCCATCTGCAGGTTTTCTGTCTTCTCCTCCCTGCTGCGGTCAACTCTGAGCAAGTCTTCTCTTGTACTGCACATTCAGACTTGCCGACCTGCAGCCATGCGTCCCTGGGACTGCCGGGGTTCCTTCCTTCTGCATGTACAGTTGCTTGCTGTGGGATAGACGTCTCGGTATTTACCGTAATCGCAGCTCCCATTAGCACCGTTTTATTCTAACATAGTTGACCATTTGGGATGTCAGCTTCAAAGTGTTCCAGTGAAAGAGCGGTTGTCAGAGCACACACCTGGATTTAATGTTCTGTAAGGATTCTGACCCATCTGGGCATTCTTGTCATTGCTCCTTTTAGGTTTTAGCTGTAGCTTCTGTAGTTACCCCATGGCTTAATCTGGACACACACCTTAACTCTTATGCAAAATTCTTCTAGTGAGCTTTCTAAGTCTTTCACTGTGGGTTGGGAAGATATTACCTTTCCTTTTGGTCAAACTTTAACTCTGAGCCGTTTCTTGCTTGTTTCCCCCTTTATTCTCAAATTCCCTGTTTCCTTTCCTCATTTTCTTGACCTTGTTAATTCTTTTCTTTTGAGACTCTCTGGCCTCTCTATACCAGGTGTTACGCTTGGGGTCCTGTGATGAATAACTAGCCTGCAGCCCTGGTCCTCAGGGAGTTCGTGGTCACGTGAGAGGACAAAACCCATATGGGAGGTCAGGTGTGGTGATTCATTCTATAATGCCAGCTACTTGGGAACTTGGGAGGTGGAGAATGGGAGGGTCATGGCTTGAGGTCAGCAGTGGGGTAGGGGAGTTAGTGAGACCTCATCTTAACCAACAAGCCAGGGGTGATGGCTTATCTTTGAATCCCAGCTACATGGACGGCATCGGTAGGATGATAGTAGTCCAACACCAGCCTGGGCAAAAAGCCCAAGACCCTTTTGAAAAATAGGCATGGCTCAAGTAGAGACACCTGCCTCGCAAGCGTGAGCCCTGAGTTCAAACCCCAGCGCTGCAAGCAAAACAAAACCCCCAGCATAGGGGAACTGATGCACCACAAGGTTATCAGTTATTGGTTCACTGAACCAAAAATTACTGTGTGCCTGCCTCGTGCCTGGTGCCCAGCTAGGGACCTGGCTACAAGCACGGCACCGTCATGCCTGTTCTTAGGGACACACACTCCACATAGGGTGACAGCGGCAGCTGCATACATAGTACACACCACAGTGCGGCCTTCAGGGACTGGCCAGTGTGCAGACAAATGCTCAATGCCTGTTTGACTCTTGTGCCCTTAAAGGACCATCCCTTTGTCACTGCAGGTCAGCCCAGTTTCCCTGAAGACACCTGTTTTGTTAGAATTCCCATGAGATTGCAAGTTTGCCTGTGAGTGCTGCTGGAAGATTCGGAGTCCCTTTGATTAATCCACTTCCAGAGCTGATGTTCTGAAGTGATACTCTGAAATGACCAGATAAGGTCCACCCTTGGGACTATGTAGCCTAACCATCCTCGGCAAAGGCTTGAAGTTGACTCATGTCGTCACAAGAACAACCTTTAGGAAGACAGAGGTACCCAGAACAGTTCCCGCCAGAAGCCCAGAGATCTGTCCTGGGACGCTTACCCCACGCGGCCTGTCTGCTCAGAGCCCTAAAAATTCCATAGTTCACACACGATCTCTCTTTCTCTTTTCTTTTCTTTTTCTCTGGCCAGGAATCTTGTGTCCTTTTTGCAGACCTTGGAGAGAAGTGCAAAGCCATAGGTGCCAAGCTGCAGCACTTAGAAGGTCAGCTTCACGCAGCGATCCACAGCCAGGACGAAGACCTCATTCATATCCTTTGCCTTGCGCTGATTAAGCACCTGCCAGGTTGTTTTGTAAAAGAAAATAATAACAGGGACACCTTTTCTCCAAACCTCCGCAGGCGGAAACAAGTCGATACTGCTGCTATTTATAGCAAGCCCTTCTAGATCTGAGATTACTCAGTGTGCAATATTTTCTCTCTAGTTTTTGGTAAGCAATTCGGGTATTTTTGGTTATTAAACCCAACTACTAAGAATTAGTCATAGTGTTCAGACACACCCACAGTGAAGTCAAAGCAAAATGAGTTTTCAGTGGGTGGAAAGATGGGTCTGTGTGGCTACAAGGAAGCATTTGGAACGAACACATCTGACTGGCTCAATTTTTAAGGGCTTTTTTAATACCAAGAAACCTGAATTGATCTTCAAATTTCTTTGTCATACAACTCAACCACTTTGAGGGCATTAGGAACCAACACCAGCACACTGTGGCCCCTTGCTTTCCGGAGGACAGCCACACACATGGGTGAAGCCCCAACCTGATCTCTTTTGGTTCCTAATAAGATTTTCTTGCATTGGACTCAGTTTCTTTGGGGCCACATATGTGAACACCTATATCAAGAGGCACGAGGACAGGTGGGCTCAGGTTGAATCCATGTGGAGTGCTGGGTCCAGGTGACCTGTGGTCTTTGGAGGGCAGGATAGATGGGGGCACAGATGAGTGGAGATACACAGCCCCTTTCTGCATCTTTTCAGTTATTAATCAGAATTGACACTTTGTAGCTAAAATCAATTCCCTGTTCATTCATTCTTTCTGTTAGGTAGTAGGACTTTTATTATTAGATGTGTTGGTGGGAATTGAGCTATTTTGATCTTTGCTTCTCTTTGCTGCCTTACTTTCTATAATTCTACTTAAGTGTGTGTCTGTGTGTCTGTGTGTGTGCATGTGCGTGTGCGTGTGTGCGTGCGTGTGTGTGTCTGTGTGTGTGTGTGTGTCTGTGTGTCTGCTTAAGCAGCTTTGAGTAGTCAAGGATTGTTATCAAAGTATTTACACCTAGGGTTTAATGATGGATTCAACATTACCTTTCTTTTATAACTTTAAATCTTTGTCTTTGCTTATTAAACTTAGGCATTTCTTTAACTTAACCAGCAATTATTTTCACATGGTTCAAGACAGATTTTTAAAAACAAATTGTTCTTTGCAATTTCCTGTTTTGTCCCAAACTAGAGTTTAAGCTCTTATTGGAAAGTGGCCCTAGGAAGCCATCATAGACGGATGGCATTGTTGATCACATGTTCAAGGGTTACACAGATTAAGTAGGTCATTAATGGTTGCTAAGCCTGTGAGAGCCAGGCACCCACACAGCGTGAAGGTGTCCCAGCCCTGCCCTGTAGAACAGGATGAGCTCTGGCCAGGAGCTGGGCTGTGGGCTGCAGCTGGTCTGGTTTGGTTCCTTGCTTTGACAATTAGTTAGATTTTAGGGGCTTGCCTCCTCTTCTTACTTGGCCTGGAGGCAGGAGAGGAGGCTGAGAAGAGGCCAAGCTGTGTTTAAGGAGGCCTGGGAGATGCTCCACAGCCCATTCACACCAGGTGGAGGAGCAGGTGACAGAACCTCTGTAAGTGTCAGCACCCTCATTGTGACATCAGGATAATACATGGGATTAGATGAGGCTGCGTTCACACTGTACGTGTACCACTGTCCTTGTAGGTTCACACTGTAGGTTTACCTTGTCCTTGCTGTCCAAGTCCACAGGCCATGTTCAGATTCTGAGTCACAACAAATGCCAAACAGCATTTGCATGTAGAGGTTGAGAGAGGTGGGTTCAACTGCTTTATGAGAAACGCTTAAAGAGTCGGTCAATAGCCACATGGCTTATACAAAGTCATTTAATTCTTACAGAGCTGCTATCAGTAACTAGAGATTGCTGTCCCTGTGTGCTGATAGTTGAGAAAATAGGCTTAGAAGTCATTCTGCTGGTCCAAGGTCATCTCCAACAAGAGCAGAATCTCCCTGCTCGAGGCCCATCAGAAGGTGGCTGTCTGTAATTAAGTGAACAGGTCTGCTTTGTGGAGAAAAGTTACTTTAAAAATTAAGTCACAATAACACTGGTGCAGGAATCTCAAGCTGGGATAGGGGACACTGAGGCAGTTTATCAGGAAGCAACCTTTTATTGTGCTGACATAGATCCAGTGGACTCGTGTCCAAAGGCTGAGCCCTGAGAACAAAGGGGTTTCACCTTATTTACCTTGTAAGCAGTTTACAGAAACAAAAAGCAAAGCTCAGCCCACATCTGGCTGCATGTGACTCCATTGGCTATTTCACTTCCCCAGTGCTATGTGACCTTCATGTTTCAGTTCTTTAAGTTTTGTCTCTCTGCTTTGTCATCCCCTCCCGTCTTGTCAGAACACAGCCTGTCTGTTTCTTTTCTGGCCCTCCTCCCTGCTACACCACCAGGCACTGTGACTGATACCTTTAATCACAACTATTCAAGAGGTGGAGATTGGGAGGACCACAGTTTGAGGTCAGTCTAGGCAAAAGTTAACAAATCCCCATGTCATCAAATAAGCCAGATGTGATGGGGCATGTCTGTCATCCCAGCTACTTGGGGGGCAGAGGTAGGAGGATCACCATTCTAGACCAACCTAGGCAAAGTTAGTGTGAGACCCGATCTGAAAAAGAAACTAAAAGCGGAAAGACTGGGGGGGGGGCAGGGTAGAGGGCGGGGTGAGCAGAGGACACAAGTGGTAGAATGCTTGCCTAGCAGGTGCAAGGCCCTGAGCTCCAGCCCCAAAATCACACACACACAGAGCTATAATGAAAGTGTTTTATTGAAGTTCTTCCTTTGTTTTCTCTCTCTTTCTTTCTTCCTTCTTCCCTTTCTCCTTTCTTTCTTTCTTTCTTTCTTTCTTTCTCTCTCTTTCTCCCTTTCTTTCTTTCTTTCTCTCTTTCTCCCTTTCTTTCCTTCCTTCCTTCCTCCTTTCTTTCTTTCCTTCCTTCTCTCCCTCCCTCCCTTCCTTCCTTCTCTCTCTCTCTTTTTCTTTAAAGAATTTTGCCATTCCCTGCTGAGATAAGCAGAGTCATTTGGGGTCTGCCCCCCCTCCAATTAAATCCACACCACTATGTGGATTTCAAGCAGACTTTCCTCTGAGGCCCAGCTGCATTCTCTCTGCCTGAGAATAAACACACACAAAGTGTCTTTGAACACACGTGAAGTGGCACTTGGGCCTGAGTGGGACATTGGGCCCTGGGGCAGGAAGCCATGTTTACATGCTCAGTGGGGCTCCTTCACAAACAAAGCCACTGTTTCAAATTAGGATTGATCTAGAGCTCCAGTGAGTCTGTGGAATCCCCCAGCCAAACCCTGACTGGCTTGTGTTTTCATTTTGATCAAAGACACAATGCGGAGAGAAGCAGCTTACCACCACCACCCGGAAAGGCGTGGCGAGGGTGATATTTTCTTTGATTTCCACGCAGCCCACTGCCAGGGCCTCCTGCATGAGTATGTAATATGCATGTTGAATCCCAGCCCACACTGGACGTGGTCCACCAGGGACATTGTTCCAGAAAATTCAAGCCCCGGATGCTTGGGCTATCCATCCTCCCCGGGGAGGCTGGTGTGTGCAAGAGCACAGCTGCTGTCAACCCCCGAGGGCCAGGCTAGGGCGGGATGGCTTTGCTTGTCAAGTAATCCTCAGAGACGTGCAGCATGATCCAAGACAACCCGGCCTGCCAGCTGCAGTGGCCCTGAGCGAAAGAAAGAAAAGAAAAAGGGAAGTCTGTGCCACTCGCTGGGGAGCAGACGGCAGGAAGAGGCTCCCCTGGAGTCTGGGGAGAGCACAGGGTGTCGACTGCGCGATTTCACCACTAGACCAGCCCCAGCCAAGGATTCGGGGCAGAGTCTGAGCCTGCAGGACGGTTCCCAAATGGTTTCCAAATTAGCAGGTAGATTTTGAAAGCCCTTTTGAGCTTGTGCAATGTTGGAATGTTTAAGACATCCTCAGCTAACCTTGGCTAGGCTAAGTGGATTTTAAGAGGGATTTTCCTCTTTCATTCACCTTCAGCTACTGTAGTGCACTGCCAGGAAAGGAAGAACATCTGGGAATTGCACATTTTGACATATTTCAAAGCTACCGGGCACTTCTGCCTGCCTCTGAGTCACAGATGGGACGGGACAGACTGGTTCTATCTGCGGCTGGATTTACATCCTTGTCCAGGAAGCCGGTGGGTGCAGGATTCTATTCTGTCTGCTCATTTGGAATGCGTGCTGTCTGATTGATTAGTTTTGGTAGCCTTGAAGGCAGGCAAAGACTCTAAATACATCCAGGCCCCTGCATAAACGCCACCGCCCTGAAGGGCTCTTGTCTGGTTCCATTTGCAAATGTGTAGCTGAACAGACAAAGGTAACCAAGTTGGGGGACAGCGCTGGCCTCCTGGGAAATGTTTTCTGCCCCTAGAGCTGAAGAGCAGGAGGGGTCACTGAGGAGCCTGGTGCTCCACTCAATGCTGTGTATATGGGAAATTCAGAGCCACAAAAGTGGCTGCGTAAGGTGCTGGGCTTGCCAGGCTGACCCGGGGGCGATGGCCACCACACTTCCCTTGGCTCCCGTCTAGGCTTTGGGGCAGGAGGAGGAAGAGTGGAGCACAGTGTGGTCTTGCATGAAGTAGGCAAGAGCTAACCTGTAGCCAGCGAGGTGGCTCAGGCTGAGGCAGGAGGGTCAGGGTGTGAACCAGGCTCTCTTCCTTGCTCATCAAGACTGTGGTCCTTGCCTCAGTTGTCCCACGCAGGTGGGTTTCCAGGACCGTAGGCCACAGTGGCTGCAAAGCACGTATTGACAAATAAGAAATAATGTAGAAATGAGAAGTCCTAAGGACATGCTCTTCTTTCTGAAGACTTAGTTTTGACTAGGTCATCAGAGTAATCACTAGGAAACACTCAACTGTTTTTGTATAAAAGCAAGACTCCAAGCTGGGGTGTGCCTGTAATAGTAGCTACTCCAGAGGTAAAGATTAGGAGGATCAGGGTTCAAGGCCAGCCTGGGCAAAAAGTTAATGAGACCCAATCTTAACCAATAAGCTGGATGTGGTGGCATGCCCCTGTCATCCCAGCTTTACAGGAAGAGTAAATAGAATCCTGGTCCACATTGGCCTGGGACAAAGCAAGACCCTTCCTCAAAAATGATCGAAGTTCTGGGGGTGAGGCTCAGGTGGTAGAGATCTTCCTAGTGAGTGCCTGAGTTCAACCCCCACTACCACAAAACCAAACCAACCAAACAAAAACAACCAAGGCAGAGTTTCAGGGTCTTCTGCAAACAGCCTCCCTCTGTGACAAGCTGGCTTATCACTGTGTCTCATCCTGTACCAGTCACCAACACAGACCTCTACAATTGCGTACTTGCCCAATAAGCAGGTGATCTGTCCCCAGGTAGGAGAGAATGGCCTTGGGTTCCAGAAGTGTTTGAAGACATTGGGATGTCAAGCTCTACACCGTTGTACTCGAGGCACTGATTTTCTCAGATGCCACAGGTGCCTAGTGGTGTATCTGGGAGCTTTGATGTTAACTGTTGGAACTCCAAGGCACAGGGGCTGCAGACTAAGACCTGTCTGGCACTCGAGTGGCTGCAGTGAGTGCCTTCACTATGGATGCCTTAAACTCCAGCTGAAGTTGGCTTTCCTCTACCATATCATAAAAGTCTAGGTTAAATGCATCAATGGGCTTCACTTACGAGCTTGGTAGATTATCTATCAGAGAATCACACTCTAGCTCCGCTCTACTGCTTAGTAGCCTTCTGATCTTGGTTAGATGTGTCCAATGGGAGGGCTGCTTTATTCTTCTGTAAATTGGTGGGAAAATGTTTTAGAATAGATGTGGTTCAGTGTGGCCTCCAAGTGCATATCGCTAGCCTTGACTCTCCCCTGCATACCTACAATCCCTTTCCTACTGGCATCACCTCTTTGTTGGCCAGTAGCCTTCTCCAACTTACTGTGTCCAAAGTTGAATCCTCAGCCAGTCCACACTCTCATCTCCAGCCTTCTCTCTCAATACACTGTTTTTCCGGTTCTTCAGTCAAGTCAAAAATCAGAGACACATTTTTTATTTTGGTGGTGCTGGAGGTGGCAGTCAGGGCCTTTCACTAGCTAGGTAGGTGCTCTGCCACTTGAACCACCAGCTTTTTGTGTGGGTTCTTTCCTCTCTTGCTCTCTTCACCATATCTTTACTCCTGTCAAGTTCAAGAGTGAGCAGGGACCCACCCTAGGAAATGCATGTGGGTCACACAAATGGTGAAGCCTTGTGAAGCTTCAGGAAGTTGAAAAGCTGCCTTTCTGGGTGGTTCAGCCTTTCTGCTCTGCAGAATCCCATTTGCATAATTCCCAGGATCCTCGGAGTTTCTTGGTTGAAAACATTTTTTTATGGTTACACCCCGAGGGCGGGGATGTCTCTTGACACTGATTTGAGGGTGGACCTAGGTGGACCAAGATCACAGGCATTTGGCCTATGAGCAGTCAGGTCTTTGCACCCTGCCAGTCTTCCTCCATGTCTCATTAAATACATGAGAGCGTAACTTTGTGGAATGCCCGTCGTGTTTAAGTGTTGTCAACACATTTCTACTTTCTCCATCATCTCTGTTGGATGAGGTTGCGTTTGTTTGCTTGCTAAACCCATCTCTCATCTACATTTAGCTTGGGGTCCTGACAACAGGCACACAAGAAGGGGACAGCAGGGTCTGTGTGAGAAGGGACAATCAGAGCACCATTCTCCTAGGACAACACCCATATCCATCGCATGTTTCTGTTTGCTGAGTTCTTCATGAGGGTTTTCTCTTCAGGAGAAATAATTTTATAGGTGAGGAAGTTAAGAACCCATCAGTTTCAGAGGAAGCCAACCAACCAACCAGCCAATCAGCTAACCAGGCAAGACCCTTGCCCTCTATCAAAGCCGGAGTCACCTCCTAGTCGCTGAGTGTTTGGGACCAGATGACAGCCATGTAGAGCCTAGGGGGGTTCCCAAGTCATGGAGTCATGAGAAAACCAACTTTATAATAGTTGTCACCAGGTGACCAGACTGGTTAATGTGAACAAGAAGCACAGTTCATGCTACTGAGTTGCCCGTGTGCCCCTCTGTGCTTATGGTGACCCCAAAACCAAAGTTTTTGGAGGACATTCTGGTTTCCAGTGCCCTGCCCTTTCTGCTGTCACAGCCCTTGCATCTGACAGTTGCCCACCTTGGCCTGGGGCTCAGTTTCATTGTGGCCTCCCTGTCTGTGTATCCCTGAGCATTGCAGCTGGCCATCTGTCTCATCTCGAGCCTGATTCTTCCCTTCCTAATCGTGTTTGTGGTGGTTAATAACATCAGGCTTATAGAAATTGCAGTCATTCTTAAAAGAAGTGTAAAATTTGTATCAATATTTAATTCCTACAATTTGGAAGTGCTTGAAACTGCATTAGATGGTGGTGCCCATCTGCTCTGGGCAGGCTTGCTTCTCTCATATGTCCTTGGGCAGCCGCAGAGCACCAGGTCTTTTCCTATGTGTTCCTTAACAGTATCCACGGTGTCTCAAGGGGGAACTGAAGATGGTGAAGGAGACTCTGCAGTCCATGACCCTGCAGCTCCAGCCAGCAAAGGAGGCAGAAGAAGGAGAGGCTGTGGCCTTCCACCCAACAGCTGGTGCCCAGGAAGCACCAGCTTGAGGCGTGGGGGCTGGAGAAGGAGGTGGGCCGCCTGTCATCAATAGGGACCCTGGCGCTCTCTGCTCTCCCTTGCATCACCCATGTGGCTGACTCAATTATGAAGACACAGAGCCTTACCGTCTTGTTATAGGGCTGAGTGGTTCAAGAACACACTAGTCCAGAAGATCCCAAGTTCTTGTGTCACCTGAACAGAGACCTGGACAGAGACAAATTGCAAAACAGTAGCAAAACTTTATTGAAAGAAAAGGAAAGAAAGAGGAAGAGGAAACACCACGAGGGAAGTGGTGGCTCTGCCAGGTGGCATGGAAACCTTGGTTTCTTTGTTTCAGCCAATTTGTAAATTGTAAGGTGGGAAAAACCTTAGGGAGGGGCGAGGGTGGCTGGCAGGTTTAATTAACACAGCGTTGTCACATAACAAGGGGCGTCTGCTCGTGTGCTTGTGCTAATTTTTGACCTTTAATTGTATGTATGAGATGTGAGCAATGTTCATGAGGTTTAAGAAGAAAACTTTGCCTGAGAGGTCAGATTGGGGCAGGTCCACCTTTCACCAGACAGACCTGGCTCAGACACCCATTTGGACACTATCTTGCAAAGATATTTACAACTTCCAGGGTTTTTACAACTTAGAGAGGATTTATTGCTCTAGATATGGCTCAGGGTGGCGCTGGGGGGGTAGGATATCTGTTTGTTTAAGAGAAGGGAATCCCAGAGTTATTTTTTGTGGTTGTTGCTAGCCTGCCTCAGTTTCCCAGTGGCAATGTGGCCCACTCATTCTCATGAACTGAGTGAGCTGGGATGTTGGAGCCTCCCCTCCAACATCACTGACTCCCCTCAGCAATTCACTGACTTCTTCCTAAAGGTCACTGAGGTTCCTTGTCATGTCACTGGGGAATCCTGCATAGGATTCCAGTCTTTTCACCTCAGCTTCCCCCAGAAGAACTTTGGGGTGAATGCCTAGCAGAATTTCCCAGAACCATTCAGTTTCTGCTGCAGCTGAAATATTTCTTGATTGAAGAATCCAAGAAGGAAACCAAATGTGAGACGGCCAGCACCCTAGCTCACCTTCCTACACACGTGATTCAGCGAGCCCCTGAACCCCAGCGGCCATCCAGGATTCTGAGCTCCTGGTCTCATTCTTCCCAGGGCTCCTGCACCTCAGAATTCACAGGCAGCTTCCAGAGGGTGGCGTGGGGTGGGGGGTGTTCTCTGAGTTGCCAGCTCTCAGCCAGGTGCAGTGCTTGGGTTTTGTGGCTCTGATCACTGCAGACAGACAGACCCCCAGTGTCTGCGGTATCAGGAGTTCTGGAATTCCCAGTGAGGCCGGGGTTCGAGCATGGCTAGGTCAGGAGTCAGGGACATTTTTGAGCCTCACTGAGTTTCTGCTGAACCTGTTTCCTTGGGTGCCAGGCTGCCAGTGTTCAGAGCCCTATGTGGGGCAGGACTCAGGGAAAAAGCCCCATCTTGGCTATGGGGTGCTGCTGCTCCAGGGGCCCCACTGGGACTCCAGTCCCCACTCCCACAGCAGGCGTGTAATGGGGCTCATCCAGAAGCTCCCCAGACCCAGGCTTCTCCGCCAAGGTGGTTTGGTAAATACTGGGTGCCATGATTCCAGTCCGAGTCCCAGCACACATGAGCAGGACAGTCTGTGACAACATGGCGAGAAAGCCCTAGATGTCGTCCAGCCCCAAACGTCCCAAGTTTAGTGAGCTGTGTTCTCTTCCATGCAGTCTCAAGTGCTAAGCCCTGTGCTCCCTGAGTGGTCCTGGTGCACATGTGGGAGATCAAACCCAACATGGGGCCACCGGGCTCAGCCAGCACCTGCCGCAGCCTGGCAAGTTTGACTGGGCCGTCCATCTTTCTGCCTTGTTTCTCCTTCATGTGGACAGGGATGGAGATGCTCCTGCCGTCATCAGAGTTACGGTTCTTGTCCCTTTCTGGCCACGCTGTCTTCTCTGGAATGAGCTGGGTGCTTTGCTCAGTCATCCATGCCGTGGGGGACACTCAGCCTCACACAGTGGTTGGCGAGGGGTCAGGTAACACACGGGAATGTGCTGCTCGGGTTCCTGCTGCTTCTTCGGCATTTTGGGAAAACACTCTGCATATTTGAATAATAAGTACAATTAGTTTGTTCCTGGACTTGATTTTTCAATAATGGACCAGTTTCCTGAATTATTTATAATCGAGTCTAACACAGTATTGTGAATTAGTCACATGGCACAGTGAGTTGATTCCAGAGGAGAGCTCAAAGAGGGTCGCCGTGCTGCCCGTGCTCCTCCCTGCTTTGTGTGATATGATACCAATTGTGTCGACTTACAGCCATTGGCCCAAGTGTGTGGTATTACCCAGAAACCCTCCCCTGTGCAATGATTCGGTAAAGTCATGCTGCTTTTGAAAATTCCAGAAGCTAATGGCTGCCTGGCAGTGCCCCAAGTAAGGTGCCCTGTGTCTGGCTGGGCAGCACGTCCACATCCTCGCTGAGACCCCCGGTCAAAGTTCTGGATAGGGCAGGTGCCGAAGACCTCTGGTGCTTGCTTGGTCTCAAGTGCAATCCAGGAAGGCATTTCTTCTGATCATACCACCTTCTCCTGACACCCCAGTCTCCTTAGCTGCCCTGACCCTAGAGGACCTGGGACCATGGACCCTGCCCATACTACAGGCCAGTTTTTGCCAGAATAACATAAAAATGTCCAAGAATTTAAATGCTTGAATTTAAAAGCAACAAGACAAAAGTTTAAGCTATTTTGGAGATAGCTAAGACCACAGTAAAAGTGCCTATGGACAGTGGTGACTCTTGAGTGGCTCCACTGTGACACAGTAAGAGAGAAGTGATGTATGATGCCTGCCACCCTGTTTGGACAAGTGGCCCAGTCCTTTCAACTTCCTGAAATTTCAAGATGGAACCCACCCTTCCCCAATTCAGACCATATGAAATGATGGAACCTCGTCTTCCTCTACAGCAATGCTGGTTCCACACCCCAGAAACACGTGTGGGTTGGGGTCCCACGCTGAGTCCTTCACAGTCGTGTCATCCCTTAGTCCTCACAGCAGCCTCACACGACGGGCGTTTGTAGAAGGAGCTTCTTCCCCAAGGCTCACAGCTGGGAAGAGAGGCTGAAGCAGAAATCTGACAGTCCAAAACCAGCAGCTGCTCCTAACTGGTGGCCTTCCTAAAGTGCCTTTCCTGTCCTCTTTGTTCTTGGAGCCATGGAACTCACTTGTTCACCCAGTTAAAAGAAGAATCCTGCCAGAATCCTAAACCCTGCCTGATGACCAGATGCTAAATCTTGGGCCTGCACCACCGGGGAGACCCACTGTGCAGCAAACCCACTCTCCCAACACCGTCCCCACCCAGCCATTACCTGTCACCCCAGAAGTCATCCCAGAAGCAATCACACAGCAGATCTGGAAGACCCCCCTGTAATTATGGTTTTTCAGAGTGTTTGAGGACTAGGGGTCCATGCTATGAAGAAAAGCAACGACATGCCTGTTTGTCAGTGGCTTCTTTTATACATAATTCACACTTTTATTTTTAATATCCTCACCTTATCTGATCTTTGCATTTTGTCATGTAATTTATTGCTTCGTTAAGTTCACTTTTTGTTACATGAAATTAAAGCTGATAGCCAAGCCACCCTGCTCCAGGAGGTTGCTTTTCTTCCGAGGTGTAGACAGTAGAAAAGTGGGTGGGCTGTTCATCTCGCCTGTCACGGAGACAAGATGAATAATTAGCGATGAGGTTACTTACAGTACACAGGCTTGTAATAAACCCATGCTGTGAAACTGTACTGCTGTTTACTTTCCGATGTCAACTTTTGCAGAAAAGGCGAAGGACATTCTACCCCAGACCCCTGGACTGGGGAAATCAAAGCAGCTTCAGGGTGGACCTGGAGACCAGGGTGGACCTGCCCCAAGCCCCAGTGGAGGCATTTCATTTGGAGACATGGGAAATATGTGCGGGCCACAGTTTGGGGAAGGAGGAGGCATAACCTTAGCACAAATGGGGGTTGTCCCCGTAGCTGGGATTGCAGGCATGCACCAGTGGGCCTGGCCTAGGTTGTCATCGTCATTGTAAGTGGACAGCCTAAAAGAGGTGATAGGAAAACTTCCACACAATTAGCAGGCCAAAGGGAACAGGACATAGGAACAACAGCCACAAGACAGGGCATAAGGACAGACCCCATCTTCACAGTAACCTAAAAGATGGGGAATGGGTGGGAATTCACTTGAGGAAGAAATGTGTAAGTCCTTGGTGAAGGAACCTGTAGGAGAGGGACATGTTTGGTTGGGGAATGTAGTCACATTCTGCCCTTCCTTGTCCCTCAGAGCCATGTACACAGCCAGTGCTTGAGTCAGGGCTAGGTCCACTTTGTTGTTTTGTTTGGGGGCAGTACTAGGGTTTGAACTCAGGGCCTTGTGCTTGCTGGCCATGCTACAGTCCTTTTTGCTTTCAATATTTTTCAGGTAGGGCCTTCTTTTTTCCTGGGCTGGCTCTAGACCATGTTATTCCTATCTGTGCCTCCCAAGTAGCTGGGATTACAGGCATGCACCAGTGGGCCTGGCCTAGGTTTGCTTTCAAATGTCATGTCACATACACTTTCCTAGCATAGGAAAGGACAACCTAGAAAAACCTTGACCTTCCTATGATCATGGCTATGAGACAGAACAACCGTCATGATTTCCTGTTTTGTTTATGACTTTTATTCATGACAAGAGAATTTAAAGGAAAGCATTTTCCAAGATCCATGCAGAACCCGTTACCCTCATTTTTCTAGTCTTTGTCCACACAAAAACATATTTTTCACCCAACTGCAGCCAATACATCCTATTCCCCCTTTTCTGTTTAATATTATAGCATTTCCCATTTGATGCACGATCGTGACAACTGTTCTTTTTTTTCTTTTCTTTTTTATTATTCATATGTGCATACAAGGCTTGGGTCATTTCTCCCCCCTGCCCCCACCCCCTCCCTTACCACCCACTCCGTCCCCTCCCTCTCCCTCCACCCCCTCAATACCCAGCAGAAACTATTTTGCCCTTATTTCTAATTTTACAACCGTTCTTTTTAACCCCGCACAGCGGTATGTCAGGCCGATCCACCATAACAGATACGCCCACGAGGTTGGATGTTAAAGTTTTCCTATGTTTTGCTGTGAGAGCTCATGTTACCATGACATCCTCAGGCACGAGGCTTTTGCTTTCCCTTGAAGCATATCCTGAGCTGGAGTTTCCAGAAAGAACTCTGAGACAGGAGAGAAAGAGCCAGAGTTGCACTGAATCAGCCCTGGGAGGAAGCTGAGGGCAGTGACCAGAGCAGCCGAGGGCGATCCTCTGAGTGGGACGCCCCATGGGGTCTGGAGTGGCTTAACTGGTCCTGTGGTGCTTCTGTGACCATATCACGGTCACCATACCAGGCCAGCATCAGTGGGGCACCTCCTTCCTCCAAAGTGAGTTGTGTGGACCCTGTGGCCATGTCTTACCTCTTTGGATGTCACTGATGCTGGCCTGTGCCCACACCATCTTGTCTCCAGATGAAAGCTGTGGGGCTTTAGACGAATCCGGGACTTCAAGACTAGAGGCTGGAAGTCCTTCTTGCCTCTTGGGTGGCTCTGAACTGATCACTCCATTCTTAGTTTGAACATCTGAAACATGAAGTTGACATGTGCAAGATCTCAGAGTGGTTCATACATATTGAAGTCTTCTTAAAAAGGCAGGGGATGGGTGGGTGGGTGTGGTGGCTCTTGCCTATAATCCCAGATACTTGGGAAGCAGAGATCAGGAGGATGGTGGTTCAAGGTCAGCCCCAGCAAAAAAATTTGCAAGATACTGTCTCAAAGAACAAGCTGGATGTGGTGACACACAGTCCCCCAACTCTGTGGGAGGCATGGGTAGGAAGATTGGACTGAGGCCGGCCTGGCAAAAATGTAAGACCTGAAAATTAACTAAAGCAGAGAAGGGCTGGAGTATGGCTCAAGTGGTAGAGCACCTGCCCTGGCAAGCACAG